ACTGAGGCAAGAATCAGGAGCTGGAGTCACACGACCAACACCTCGTCACATCAGCCAAGAACTGAAGGTGTGGGTAGCTGGGATAAGGGGTCTGGCTCCCCCATCTCCCTCCAAGGGAGGGGGAAGCTGTGCAGACGGCAGTGCGGCACGTGGTGACGTCATGCTAATTTGCTTGTTTTTCTTTGGGAAGTTCTGTCCACTCGTTTGACTTTCAGTAGTAGCTTCAGCTAGAATAGGAGTTTGTTTTGGGAAGCTTACCTTTCTGGGTGTCTGACCTGGTTGATGGCAGACATAGAATGCTCCAAATCACATGTGCAATTTTATAGGTCATTGCTCCTCGTGCCTCTGTGAGGAGGCCAGGTTCTGGCTCATGGTCCCTGGTAGGCCTAAGAACTCCATTCACACTGACTGATGCCAAAGTTTAGTAATATCCGTATCAGGTTGGATAGCTCCGGGGAGCCGAAAGGGCTACCCCCAGAGAACCACAAGACTGAGGCCAAATGATCGCAAGTCCGAAGGTCATCAGCCACCAAAGCAGCCGAAAGAGTGGGAACCTGTGCATGCAACTGCACCAGACCCACATCACGAAAAAGCGCAAAGGCAAAGAGGCACTCATTGAGAAACTCAAGTGACCCCCCCCCCAAGAATACCTGCAACACCGAAGACATCTCCCGCCACTTAAGCAAGCGGATACAACAAAAGCCATGACAAGCTCTCAGAAAGAAGACTCTCTGGGAGCCAGCCAGGAAGATTCAAAAACCTCAAAACGCACCCAATACGGGGAAGAAGAATCAAACTTAACCCTTAAACTGCGAATGGCATATATATATGCAATGAGTAACTTGTCCCATGGTGCGCATGGCATATATATATGCCATAGGGTGCCAGGCATGATTCAAATAGCCCGCGGCTACATGGGGTTCACATTAGCTTCCTCAGGGCTCTTGTAAACAGATGCCATTTTTTTTTTTAAATCGTGGGCAATATTCTCAGGTGTGAGAGCCATAGTACTGTTGGAGCAACCAAGGCTGGTGCATGCAGCATGAGCGAACAGCATTGCTGTTCAGCTTGTGACCACAGCATCGCCGAAAAATGTCAAAATAAATATATAACTGCTTTTATTTAGCGATGACAATATTACAGATGACCCCTTACTGTGATAAAAATAACCAGGGTTGTGATAATAGCAGGATTGTTGTAATAATTAGCACTGTGGGAGGAGTGATGCTGAGGGACGGAGGGAGATTGCATCTTTACTGACTGTGTGGCCACCTGTTATTGTCTACAGTCACCATACCAGCTCAGTGGTTCTCTATGGTGAACACAAATGTTGATACTTATATATAATGTGTGTATTAGTGTAATAACAGCAAAAGGATTATGCTGGGAGGAGCCATTTGGGTGACGGAGGTGGTGTCGTCTGCATGACTTGTCTAGCTGTGTAGAGGGTGGCCACTATGCTCTTTGGGCACCCTACAAGCTAAGATGTACAGTTACGGTGCATACAACATGTAGATACTTATATATAATATGTGTATATAGTGTAATAACACTGCAAACAGTATTGTTGGGGGAAAAAGTTTAGTGCGTGTGACCTTGAATGAGTGAGGGAGCCGACAGCTGACTGTGTGTGTAGCGACGACTTTTAGTGCCTGAACTAACTATATCAGCTAGCTGTACAGTTGTGGTGAACAAAACATATACTGTACATACTTACATATAACGTCTATATATAGTGTAATAGCACTGCAAACAGTATTGTTGGGGGAGAAATTCAACCCATCCTCTTAAAAATAACGTTACTTTTGGCTCGTATGCGCGCTATGGCCAAATTTGGACGTAATTTGAAATGAAATTGACTCACAAAAGTGACGTACTGTTCTGTTTTCTGTTTGAGTCATCCGGCTTACTCGGGAAGCTTAGAAAAGGAAACTTTCCATTAACGTTTTTCATACCGTTTTGAAACTTTATGAGAATTTCCTGCCCACCTAACCTATCAGAGGACCCTTAACTTACTGTTGTTGAAAAAAAAATCCCAAATTTATTTTCCTTTTTTTTTCATTTTCAAATTACGTCCATATTCGGCCATACGTGTAAACGGCCAAAAGCGACGTTCTTTTTAAGAGGACAGGTTGAGAAATTTTAGTAACATCGAGGTGTGAACTTGAATGAGTGTGGGAGGCAGCCGCCAGCTGACTGTGTGTGTGTAGCGACAACTCTTAGTGCCTGAACTAACTATATCAGCTTAGTTGTACAGTTGTGGTGAACAAAACGTGTAGATACCTATATATAACATCTGTATATTGTGAATAAAATATAAAACAGGATGGTGGGAGGAGAAAGTGGGCGAGGGAGTGGCAACGATTGGCTGGCTGGTGTGTGGCGGTCACACCTCGTTGCTTTTCGACTCTCAGTACCAACTTAGTGGTTCGTTATGGTGAACAAAACATGCAGATACTTATATATAACATGTGTATAGAGTGTAATAACAGCAAAACTATTTGTTTATTGTTTTATGAACATAATAATTGAATCACTAATATGCACACCATACTTTTGAGTATAGCGATCATTCACCACTTTTATTATATAAATATATCACAATACACACTATTGAATAATATTAATGCAAAAAAACTAAGAAGAAATCAATCAGAGACATTGAAATAATTAGGTGATAATATCTTTGTGGCAACTCCCACCTGTTAGCGCGGATGACCGACTCTGACGGCCGCTCTGTCAACGCCCACTTTTTGCCAGACTTCCTCGGTCTATTGCGCCCAAAATATGTCACCTACGATTTATTTTTTATTTTTCCCGTGCTCAGGGAACACAAATTAACATTTTTAGAAGACGAAATAATTTTTTAGAATTTTTTTTTCTTGTGCACAGGGGTGTAAATCTTCTCAGGACCCCTTAGCAGCTTAAGGGTTAAACGAAGCCGGATCCATCACAGAGGCGCAAACCAGGTCTCGCTGGAGAAACACACCAAGGGCCACCCGAACCTTCCTAGGGCAAATCCGATAGGAAGGAAACCTCCGGCAGGATAAATCAGAGGAACCCAAGGGCACCCGGAAACGAACCCGAGGGAAGCTGCACCTAACTCAAAGTTATAAAGAGAAGGAGGGTACAGAAACCCCCTGCCCTGCAGCAATAACCCCTGCCCAGAAGGCAAAAGGGCCCAAGCAGGCTCAAAAGGAGCCGAAACGCTCTAAGCGGACTCCCACGAGCTCTGGGAACCCCCAACACAGACCCAGGGGCAGAAACTTCAGCCACGCCCACCACCCCTGAAGAAAAGGCAGAGTCCAGGAAAAAAGCTTCCAAGAAGGAAGTCTGCTGGGTTGACCCTGAAGCCTCAGCGGGAAAATCAGGCAACCACCTCTGCGCCTGAATCAGAAGAGGCAGCCCCAGAAGCCACCCGAGCCTCATCCCATGCGAAATCCCGCCCTGCTTCCAAAACCCTCAGATGTTTGGGAGCTGGAAGTAGGGGAAGAAGAGCAGGGCAAACTAAGTCCTCCTGGGAAGGAAGCGGGGATGCAGACAGAACCAAGGTCGAAGCAACCAACACCCCCAAATCCTGGTCCCTAAAACCCAAGCTTGGTAGCTCCGGGGCCTCCAACCGTGCAACCAACCTGGCCCATTGCAATAAGGAGAATCGAGCATGCAAAGCAGCCACTGCCTGATCCCCGAGATCAACAGACAAGGAATGAGTAAACTGAAGTACAAGCAGGAAAAAAGTCCCGCAAGACTACGAGTCGTAGGTGTCCCCAACCCAACAAGCACCATGATGGAGGCAGTACAGATGATCATCTCCCCGAGGCAGGGGCTATTAACAACCTTCAACCTCGCACAAGGCGAGAATGGACTCGGAAGAAGTATCCATGGTACCACCGAGCCCACAGGGGTTTTCCAGGGCACCTAGGATAAATCAGTTGTATGGGAAGCCCAGGCCCCGGGGCCATCTAAGCCGGTAGAATCCTTTCAGATAGCAGGCAAACTGACCACTGGTAGCAGCTGTGAAACCTAGGGGCAACAGAGGAGGGCCCCCAACACAACCTAGGCTAGCCTAAAAAGAAGCTAGGCAGACTTCCTCCTTCCACAAAAGACAAAATTGCCAGAGAAGAAAAACCTAAACCCCGTACACACAACAAACAAACTGACAGTCAGAGTAAACCATCGGCCACCGCATTAAACTAAAGCTGGCTGTGTCAGCCACAGTGCACCCCATCCAGCCAATAACACTCCCCTATCCGGGCAAGACGGAAAACCCCAGATCCCCGACATACCCCAAGGGTGAAGACAAGGACAAAAGACAAAGTCTTCAAATGGGAAACGAGTCCCAAACACCCCAGGGAAGATAACCCTGACACGTAAGGGCAGTACTTACAGAGCACCTTGGGAACGTCGTCCTAGGTGCATGCAGCCCCCTGTACTCTAAGACACCTGGCCACCACACCCCACACAGCTGGAACAGCCACACAGGACAAAAATCCAGAACAGGAACGTGAGGCCATAGGTTTCCACCAGCACATCAGGGGGAGGGGGTAGTGCTAACGAGCATGAGAGCTAGTTGGATGAAGTGTTTCTTGTCTGTTTTCTTTCTAGGGGAGTTATTTTGCTCTTTTCGGACGTAGGTTGCAATTTTCACTAGATAATGGTCTGATTTGTTACGCCTATCTTTCTGGACGCCTTCCCTGGTCGATGGCAATTATGACATACTTTAACTGTAAAGTGTTCAGAGGCCATTGCTCCCAGCAATGATTCCAGATTCTGGCTCATGGTTCTCAGTCGGCAAAAGAACTCCTGTGACTGATGACCCCAAACTAATGTTGCCCATATCAGTTCTGATACCATCAGGGAGCCGACAGGGCTCCTCAAAGAAAATAATGGTCCAGTTTGAGAGATATCTGGTCAAGATATACTGAGTCCTGTTTATAATCTATGTCCTAGAAAAGTATTACACAATTGAGTACATAACAGAGAGTGATAAAATTAAATACCTTCAGATCTTCTTGTGTTATAGCAGCTAATTTTTCACATTTGTCTTGGCTCAAGCGATCCATTATTGCTCTCATGGCACCTGTTGTAGCTTCTAAAAGGCCACTGTCTGCAATTAAACAAAAAAAAAAATGACAAATGGAAGTTTACAAATTCATTTAAAGCAAAGCTTTTCTGAGGCACACAATATTTCTAGTCTTAGATGCAAGATCAAAGATAACACAACATAATGATATCCATTTGACAGAAACAGTTGAAACTACCCAGCACTTACAAATCCACCTCCCTCATCTGTATGAGAAAAAAAAAATCATTGAATGTAATGAAATGCCTCTTTCTGGATGAGCCCTGGTGACTCCCAGAAGGATACCAACTACTATGTCACATCATCTGTGGGATTCTGGTTGGCCAACTGGCGACCAGAATCAGAACCTGCCTCCCCTTTCCCTCACAGAGGGGCAGAGAGAAGGTGAAATTTCTCTCCCCTCCCCCCCCAAATCTATCACACCAGGAAAACACTGTGTTGAATGTAATGAATGTCATTTTCTGGGTGAGAATCCAGGCTGATATTGCTATATTAGACTTTGGCATCAGTCCGTGTGAATGAACTTTTTAGTCCTACCAAGGACCACGAGCCAGAACCTAGCCCCTCAGAGAGGCATGAGAAGCAATGGCCTATAGAAACCCCTCGTGTGGTTGGAAGCATTCTATGTCTGCTATCGACCGGGCAGACACCTAGAAAGGTAAGCATACCAAAACAAACCCCTATTCTGGTTAAGAAATTGCTACTAAAAACCGAACTAGTGGACAGAACTCCCCAAACAAAAACGAGCAAATGAGCATTATGTCACCACGTCACCATCTGCACAGATCCTTCCCTCCCAGGGAGGGGGGAATGGGGACCCCTCATGCCAGCTACCCAAAACCCCCAATTCTGAGCCTGGATATCAAAAACACCCGAAAAACGGCTAACCAGAGGGAGTGTTGCCGGGAAGTCTCCAGGTCTCACTCAGAAAATTGTGTTTCATTACATTCAACACTGGTTTTCTTGGGGGGGGGAGGAGCCCCTATGGCTCCCTGGAGCTACTTACCAAAAGATGAAAACAAGAGGGACTTACCCGTGAGGCAGTTATTGCTCGTCCCTCAACGTGAAGTTGAGACAACTGGCTGCAACCACCAACCCAAAGCGACACAGGCCCGACTAGGCCCAGGAACATTAACTAGTTAACGCGCACCCAGGACCCTGTTCGACCGTCAAAAAACCCATGCTCGAATGTCAGTCCAAGACATTCGAGCATGGTCAGTCAGTCCAAGACACCCGCCAAACGTTTTTGTTTGGCGGGTGTATTGGGTGTAGCGGGTGTGGAAATGGGTGTTTGGGCGGGTGAGGCATCGACGTGTTTGGGGGTGTTTGGGGGTGAGGCGCGCCCATGTAACCCACTTTTATGGATATGTCTGTGTAGGCAATTTTATTGCGATCACAGTGATACCAAACAAAACCATATGCAACAAGTTTTGACTTGATAAACACAAACAGAGTAGAAACATATGGGGAGAGTTTAGCTGAGTTTAGCGTGAACGCCAAACAAAGGACGCAGTTCTTTAGTTGGTGGTGGCGTAATGTTAGCTTTGGTGAAATGTTATGCATATGTTCTTATAGAACATTTCATTAGCTACACAGTGATACCAAAATAAATCACATACATCGAAAATGAGGATCACAAACATGAGGAGAGTATAAACTTTTCAGTTGTGGTTGAGCGCATGTGCAGCTGGGCACGCTGGAGCGGGTAACCCTACGCCAACTTCCCACATTCCTGCTGGTGGGCCGACACCATTATTTATCGTTTATATTCATATGTCCGTGTAGGGAATTTTATTGCGGTCAGAATGATACCAAAATAAACCACGAATAACAATTATGGGGTTGGGAAACATAAAAACTTCGTAAACATTGATGCGCGGTTTGACGCTCACGGCTAACGAACGCCACAGTTTCTTATTTGGTGTGGTTCTCATGTCGGATTTGGTGACAATTTATGTATATATTCCTCTAGAGCATTCTCTCGCGAACACAATGATACCAAATTTAAATACATACCGCGAAAATTAACACTTTCGCGCCCCCTTGGTTTGGTAAAAAAAAAAGCGGTATGTGCGCGCGGCGTTTTTGCCGCGTAAGCGTAAAAACAAAAATGTGTATACTCTTTTTACTCTCCTGACCTTAGTTCTCGAGCTACGTAGTTCATTTTGGTACCAACGTGTTCGCAATAAAATTCTCTAGAAAAACATCAGTAAAAAAAGTCACAAAACATATAGGGATACCAGCACCAAATAAATAACTACGAAGATGACTCGCCGTGAGCGCCCAACAGCAACAAAATGTTTTTACTCTTGGGATTGTTATCACCTCCACACTTGTCCTACAGCGTTAATTTTGGTATCAATGGACTCGCAATGAAATTCCCAACACGGTGATATGAATATAAACGTAGAATAATGATTGCGGCCCACCCGCAAGAGTGTGGGAAGTGGTGAAATTGTTACCCGGTATCGGTGACGGGACGAGACATGTGCGATACGGCGCTTTGAAAGTTTATACTTATTTCACTGTCCTGACATTATTATTGTATGTACGTCATTCATTTTTGTGTCAATGTGTTCGCAATAGAATGTTCTATGAGCCCATAGGTAAAAAAGATCAACAAAGCGTAAGATAGAATAGCGCCAAATATAAAACAACGCTGGAACATATCAGTGAGGGTCAAACACACACGAAATGTTTTTACTTTTGTTATGTTTGTTAAGTTTATACTTGTTGCACACAGTTATTTTTGGTTGTACATTGATCGGAATAAAATTCCCTAAACAGACATATGCATATAATAGATGATATGGGGGAAGCATTACCTGTATAAACGGCTAAAGTCACCCACCTGCAACCCGTTTGGGACACTCATGCTGACACACGCTACACCCAAAAAAAAATCTATGAAGGTTCGAGTCTACTTATGGCAGTTTATGTGATAGTGTTCATTCTGGTATCAAAATACAAAATACATTACCAGTATAAACGGCTAAAGTCACCCATCTGCAACCCGTTTGGGACACACGCTACACCCAAAAAAAAATCTATGAAGGTTCGAGTCTACTTATGGCAGTTTATGTGATACAGTGTTCATTCTGGTATCAAAATACTCGTTTCAGTTTGTAGTTCATGTGATTTTCAGAATCAACTGAATCGCTGGAGGTTCAACATTTGAGTCAGAGTCATCTGACAAAACCGTCTCGTCAAATGGCAGTGTGCCAGACATCTCGGGTTCTGATTCGGTTGCTGCTTCAGCTTGAGGTGTTGAAGTGAACAAGGGCCGCCTCACACCAGATGGTCCAGGAGCTTGCGTGGCGTCAGCATAGGCAGGACCTGTGTCATCATTTATGTCTGGAGCGTGCCGCAAGTGTTGAGATACTGTTGCTGTTTGAGGCAAATCTTCCGGGTCCCAGCACAATAGGGCCCAATTTGCCACCTCGTGGAACTGTAGCAATGTTAGCTTTTTTTGATCAGTTGTGTTGTATTTGTACAAAATAAACGAATTATGCAAAGTCATTTGCAGGAAATAAAACGTTATCTTTTAGGTCCACTTGTGAGTTTTCCGGGTAAAATGGTAATACCATTTGATCGAAGTGGTCCACACCTTTCATGAACTTATTGTACCATGCAGCCTAGTGGTGAGAAAGAGAGCCTCATGGCGCGCAGTTTGAAACAAACCCAAAGTAAATCGGATTAAAATTCAATTTTATACAAATATTTTAAAAGAGGACATAAATTTATGTCCACCATGCGGGAGCGGGTAGGCGAAACAGGACGCCGGGAGGAGTCCTCATCCACAAAAAGTGTTAAGCTCAGCAGCCCGAAAAGATTATAAACATTTTAGTGCTGACGCGCAGTAGGCCCACACGAATAGCTCACTTGGGGGTCAAGGTCAGCCTACGCCCAGGGAACGCGAAAGTGTTAAGAAGCACATCAACAAACTGGAAAAGGTGCAACGACATATATGATATAATACAGCTGCAGACACCAGACATTGTTGCACTCATGGAGACAAAACTTGAAGATGCTATTTTAAATGAGGTCATATTCCCAAGGGGCTACTCAATTTGGAGACGGGACAGAAAAATCAGGAAAGGCGGTGGCGTTGCTGTGCTGGTGAAAGAACACCTAAAGGTAAATGAAATAGTGACTGCCAATCCACAAGAAGTTGACATAATAGCACTAGAGATCTGCCATGAGGATGATAAACTAATGATCATAAATGCATATAGTCCACCGCTAAGCAGCACATGGTCAAAGGAGGAGCTAGATAGTAAACGAGAAGGTCTTATAACAATAATGAGAGAGATCATAGCGAGAGCGGATAACGATAGTTCACGACTGTTGATAGTCGGCGACTTCAACTTGAAATCCATAGACTGGGAAGCATGTGAAGCTAAAACAGAAGATTTCTGGACCTGTAAATTTGTAGATCTCATCCTGGAAACATTCTTGTATCAACATGTTAAACAAGCTACGAAGATAAGGGAAGGGGATGTTCCCTCCATGCTAGATTTGATATTTACCAGGAAGGAGGAAGAAATATTTGACATTCAGTACCTTCCTCCCTTGGGTAAAAGTGACCATGTCTTTTTGGGAATAAAGTATGCAATGCGTTATAATCTGTTAGAAAATATGACGGTCGATGCAAATGAAAAACCTGACTTTAGGAGAGGACATTATGGCAACCTTAGAAAAATTTTTAGTGAGTATAATTGGACAGACTTGTTGCTAGGCAAGGAAGTGAATGAGATGTATGTCAGGTTTTGTGAAATATATGATAAAGGCACAAAAAAATTTATACCAAAACAGAGAAGCAGAACTAGGAAACAGGATTGGTTCAACAGAAAGTGCGAGAGGGCCAGAGACCAAAAGACGCAAAAATAGAATCAATACAGGAAGAGGCCAAACCCCCAAACATACCAGCGATACAAAGATGCGAGAAACAACTACACGGCAGTGAGGAGAAAGGCAGGAAGAAATTTTGAAAAAGGGATTGCAGACAAATGTAAAAAAGAACC